TGTTTTGACACCTATCGAAAGCTATTTTTTTGTAAGCAAACAAAACTGACGCAGCCGGAGGTATCATGGACCCGGATTCCAAATCAGCAGCCTCGTGGGGTGATGCAACAAAGGGTCAGCAGCGGCAGCCTGTTGAGGAGGTGGGGCAGCCATGGTGAAACATGGTGAAACAAAACAGGGGACACAACAGGGGACAATAATTAGCAGACAATAGCAGACACGTGGTCAGCATCGGAATGCTTCCGTGAGGACATGCTGTGGTCCATCCTCTTCTTTAGATTCTTTAGTGGTTTGGCATGGCTTTAAGATGCGGATAAACGTGATCTTGTCATGAAAGTAACACCGCAGCAAAGGACAAAGTTCTGGGTTCTAGACTGGCTGTCCCGATCTGCCCAGGCAGCGTTGCCGGTCACGATAGAGTATGGCATCCCAACAGCAGGCATTGCCTGCAATGTGAACGTGCTTTGGAATAACTTGACGTTCAGTCTTGAGAACTGCATAGAACATCATAGAACTTCTAGTTGTGGGGATGGTGTTAGGCTGTTATCAGTTGTCAACAATAACGACAAAAGGCTTGGGTTTCGATGACGAAGCCGATCAGCACACTCCGATGACATCAGTTGGATTGATTGTAAGCTGGTCCGAAACGCATCGTCGCAGGAGCTGGTTCCAGTGAGGCTCCCTTGTGCGTGGACGGTATGCCACGACAAGCGTCCTGACAGCAGGAGTTTCAAAAGACTTGGAAGACGCTCACGTTGTAAGATGCTATAAGTTATTGCAACACAAAAAGGATCAAACAGGCCACATCAGGGCAACCATTCGGACACCTGCTTCCCCCTACCTTGACCTGTTTCCAGACCGGACCTCGGATCCGCTCGGGCGATGCGGCATAGCCGATCAAACCAGGACCAATCGACTTGGAGCCTTGGACCATTGACCGGACCCAGGATGGTGTGGTGGGGCTGGCGTTTGCTGATCGCCTCGAGCCTGCCTTGCGCTTGAGTGTGGTGAAGATGGGCCCCAGCTTGGAGGAAGGGCGTTGTTGGGTTCGTTGGCTGCTGAACATGAAGGATGGCATGTCGATGAAATCTCAAGCTTGAAGCTTTAGGAAGACTTTGGAACTGAGACTGCATGAGAACTCTACGGCATGATGGGGTTCTCGAGATCTACAGATCCGACCTGCAGGTTGGAAAGGCCGGACCAAACCCCGAGGGTGGCTTCCTGGTGGACATGATTCGTGTGCAGGGCAAGGTGCGGGATGCCTCTGACGATATGCTCAGTGTGGTTCCAGGGTCTGGGCTATGCTTTACTGTTCCCTGCCCCCCCAAAGCAAAACACATGGAATGCCCAAAGCGGAGTCTCTCACACAGGATGGCCTTCCAACAAAAGTGATCAAAACTGCTTGAAGCCGTGGACATCGTCAACCCGACGGTGGTTTGAGCATCAGGAGATGCCAGCTGCTAGTGCACTGAAGGGAGCTGCCAAGGCAGCAGGACTCAGTAGCATGAAAGGACTGCCGCACTGGCATTGGCATTGAAGGTTGCATTGACATGGATCAGAAGATGAACTTTGATGGCAAACGTGCGCTGTAGGAAGTGGTACCAATGACATCAAATGAGTATGGCCGGAATAGTCCTGGACCTACTCAAGACTCAAAACTCGTGCAATTTAGATTTCCCCGATTTGCCTGGCTTCCCCTATTTCGACCTCTTGATTTCTCGTCCATTGACAGGAATTTGCTTGGGCCTCCGGCGACCAAGTGGCGGAGCTGAAGATGCTGCTTCCTGGGCCGTCTTTCCACTGGCTGGGGTTTCGAAGACAGGCTGCATTCTTTGGACGATCTTCGAAGGATCTTCGAAGCTACGAAGCGAATCTAGAATGGTCAAATGAATCTTTTAAGCATTCTTCGGAGACGAAAAGCGGGCACAAGGTTGGAATAAATGCGGTGCATTTGTGAGCTGTCTTCTCTCATCTCCTCTCCATTCTTGTGTTTTTTTTCTCAATGGAAACACTGTAGGCTAAGCAGCAGCAGTGTTTCATTTCATTTCTCGACAGGTGGTCTTGTCTTCCGATCTAAAGGCCCATCGGCAGAGGGCTTGGGTCCGGACGATACTATCCGAGAGGCCTGGAGAGAGTGGACGGGCTAGGCTGTGGGCTGTTGGCGGATGGAGCTCTTAGATATGAAAGGTTCACGTATCGAGTTCACTTCCTCCTTCGTTCCTTTGGCCAGGTTCAATTCTTCGCCCCAGGCCCCGGGGCATCATCGACAGTGCAGGCAGGGGTGTTGTACCAGTTAGAAGTGCAACAGTGTGCGACATGGGTCGCTTAAGGGCTTCAGGTCAGTTCATGACACATTGAAATCCTCGACATCTTGACTTGTGGCTGACCTTTGGTCTTGGGGCAGGAGCTAACCGGCCGCTTTGCTGGCAAAGCCCTTCCACTGGCCCTGTTGACGACTGAGGAGGCAGCAATGGCAGCAGCGACCTTGGTGACAAGTCTTCGTACATCAGACAGGTTACGTAACAAACACAGTCCAGAGATGTCCAGAGTCCAGATACCCATTCTGAAGACACAGCAAAAAGGACCGTGAAACAGTGAAGCACCACATGAATGGATTTTAATGATTTTAACTTTTGGTTCATTGACAGCATTGAAATGCGGTGTGCCGAGGCACCTGGATCACTACCTTTGGTCGGTCCTGCTTTGATTGGGAACGCCGGGGCAGGCACCACCATCCACCGCCAGGCGGTGGCAGTGGTGGCCTCTTAGTGCTGAAAATGGGCTTGGATTCTGGCGGAAAAGAGGTCTCTTAGGTCTTCCAAACGGACTCTTCTCAATAGAAAAGGGTCATCAAAGTCCAAGTCTGGCACGAATCTGAAGCTTGAGCCAATGGACCGCAGCTTTCGAGCACTATCCATTGATTCATGCGCCGACTTGTTTTAGCTTGTGCACAACAAAGGAACCATGAGTCATGAGCCCAATGCTGTGTGTGAAAGCAGCACGCAACCAGCAAGTCGGTGCTGTTTTCTCGATTTATCCTAGGACGTTGACAAACTCTTGGCATGCCTCGGGGTCGGGGTGCATGGGATCTTGCATACCTGCCTTAGTTGATTGTCCAGCCAAGGCACAGTGATTTTCTCTTATATAAAAGTATTGATCCCGATGCAAAACTATCTTCCCTTGCCTTGAAGGATGCATTTGTATATCGATTCGAACTCTTTTATTGCTCTCACCATCCTTGACGACTCTGTCAATGCCGCCACGTGGTTCATTTTGAATTTTGAAGGAGTCGTTCATGGTGACTGAGCTTGGACAAACGTTTCGCGCGAAAACATCCTCCAATTGGGCTGCTCAGGGCTAGACAATGGTATGACAACGGTAAGTGTGTTTATCATATAACTACTTTATATACATGATTTTACATGAATGGTCAATGGTAAAACATCAACCATATTGACATTGCAATACATTGCAATGTGAATGGGCCAAACCTCAGAATCCAAGCAATTCAACGAACGGTTAGTATTTGTGTCAAAAGACCACCGTTTGGGCAGGTGTCTGATGTGCTGAAGTCTGTGATGATGGGTGATCACTTCTTTTTTGATGGGGGTAGGTAAGAAATGATTCCCGGCGAAATGTCAACGGGTGGAATCCTTTTCCTGGAATCATGTCCTTAAGAATCTGCTTTTGTCCCTCCTGTCTTGAACCTATTCGCTATTTAAAGGCCTGGCAGACCTGGAAGTAGACTCCGACCCACAGACATCACCCCGTCCGGGAGTGGACACATTTTCTGGAAAGGGAGCCGGAAGACGATCTTCGTCTACAGGTCTTTATCGGGATATCTGGGCCTGCTTCGATGTGACCCGGTCACGGACTGTAAGAGTTCCAAGTTATGAGGAACCATGTTTCTTGTGCCGTTTGCCATCGGGCCTCCGTTCCAATCTCAAAGTATGAGCCAAACCGAGCCAATTCCATCATGCTGGCCATCCATGGGCAATGGCCACCTAGCCCAAAAGCAGGACTGTCCTGGCAACATGTGGTAAAACCATGAGGCATTTCATGAAAACGATACGTAGTTCGTCCTCATCTAGGCCTTGTTCTTCATTGTAGCGTGCCTTTTGAGCGCTCAAAACGGCTTTTGGACTTTTCTCGTTTCCTGAACGTCGTCAGACTGGACCTTATCAACTGCTAAGAGCCTGTTTTTCATTGCTTTCGCACTGCTGAGGAGCTCAAGAGCTGCGAGCCAGCAGCTCCACTAGAACAGGACAAGCGAAGCGAAGGGGTGAGGAGGGTAACCCTTCCAAATTCTTCCAATGTTCACCAGACCAGGGAGGGACAGGACATGACAGGACATTGTCTTCTGAAGCTATGCAAAGTGCTGCCCTTTTTGGGCCTAATGAGGGCACATTCTGAAGTTGGTCTGAAGGCCTGCAACAGTCCACAACACACTCATGGCAGGACGTGGGCATCGAATGACTGGCTGGTGCTCCATCCATTCAGGTGGGCTTGTGAGTCAGGCAGCACAGAGAGCTTTGCATGAGTTATCATGAGTTGGTTTGTGATTTGTTGCCTTGGGCAGTTGCCCGACCAGCAGCAGCTGTTGCAGCCACAATTTCCGTAAGGACGCCGCTTTCAGTTGACTGCGATGGAGTGAGTAATTACAGCTATTTGGACCAGTGTCATAGGCTATCGCAGTGTGACACTGCGACACTTCATGTCGGGGGGCCGAACAACCTGACATTGTGTTGCTTACTGCGATGGCAGGAGAGCTGGAAGACTTTCGGTCCTGGGCTGAGTTGTTTGAATACATAGGCAGGTATGTGAAAGCTAGTGGGAAGTCAAGAATCTCAAAATAGGTGAGAATCCGACGCACGTGGGTAGCACTCTACATTGAAAGATTTCCTCGCGTCTTGGAGGTGTCGACACAGGTGCGAAAGCGTTCAGATGAAGGATCCTCAAAAAAGAAAGTCGTTTGCCTGGCACCTCTGGCGGAAGAAGCCATGATTTCGTTCCTGGGCAGACAAGTCGTGTGTCAAGCAGTGCTTATAGAGGAAAGAACTGGGAGAGACTCGAACATTGAACATCTCTGAGGCTAAGACAGCCTGGGCCTCCACCATTTCGGAAGGCCTTACTTGAAGCCTTCAAGAAAGAAATTCAGAGCTTCCACCCGGATGTCCACAAAGGCGAGGATGACTTGCCAGCCAACAAATCGAGAACTCACCGATTCCTAGCTGGCCTCTCAGGCGATCGCCAGCTCCTGGTGGAGCGCTTGCGCAACTGCCGCTTGGGCAAGGATGCAAGATCCTTCAATCTTGAGGCGGAGCAAGCGCAGCAGGTGACCAAGGCCAAGTTGGGTCACATCAGCCGCATCCTCTTGGTCAAACACGATGTCACATGTGATGGCTTAATTAATTGTTCTAAACTTTTCTAAATTCTATACATAGCAGTTGCACAAGCGCATCAAGCGAGTTGCTGTGAATTCTTTTAAGGTTGTGATTTGTGCAGAAATGAGAAGGTTCTGGGTCGATTCTTCAACGCTCTTTTTTTGTGTATTCCGTATTCGAGCACCAGTTGTGAGTCGGATTGATTTGGTTATTTTCGGACTATTTGCAGACCACTTCGTATTCTTTTGCCGTCCAAACCCGTGGGACGCATCTCAGCCAGGCCTATGTGCAAAAGCTCTGGACCTTGGCGGCCGACAAGGGCTTGGCAGTGGACAGCGACGGTGTGAAAATGCGAAGCGCAGCAGTCACTCGAAGGGCAGTCAGGGAACGTGTCGGTCACACATGCACATCAAAACTATGCAAGTCCCATGCTTTATTGATTTATTTTCAGAGCACACACACAAACACACTGGTGTTTTTTTGATGCTTTGCAAGACTTGCAATCTATGACTTACAGTGCCCCAAATACGCACTTCATCGCCGACCAATAATCGGGCTCCCCAACTAAGACTATTGATGAGTGTGTGCAGTTGCTGCCGGTTGAAGCATTCTTGGGGATATCGCTATTGTACCTTCACTGTGGGCGGATTTGGCAATTTTATCCGGGCATTGGGAAAAGATATTCCCAAGTGTCAGTTCTTGCCTTTGATAACCGCGTAATACACTTGCAGTGAACCTTACAAATCAATGGTTCAAACACGGCTGAACGTCATGTGGTCCTGCTTCATTCAACTTAGGCTCATCTTGCTCGGTGTTTTCTGGAAGAGGACAGCCGTTGGTTGGAATCAGTGCATTCAGATTGGACATCTCGATGTTTGGGTGGAGCTTTTGGCGGGCATTGCAATGACACGACAATGCATGCACGACCTCATAAACAGAAGGCGCGACTAGATGCGGTAGCTTCCCGGAAAGTATTTCCTGCACATTGTAGACCCCCAAGAGGCAACTGAGCCTCAAGAGACGATCACAGAGAACCTCAGTACGTTGGCAGCATTCAGTCCTTCTTAGTTGCAACAAGTCGCTGTCATTGCTTTTCATCGTTATTTTTGAGAAAGCTGTCTCCCTGCTTTGGCGCAAGCCTTGCGCAAGCCTGGGTCACAGCAAAGGTCCAGAGACAGCTGGCTGGAAGGCATTGGCTACGTGGCTGAGCGAGCGTGCGCTGGAACGGGAACCCGGTTCACAACTAAAGGCTGGGACGAGCGGCTACATCTTCAAGATTCCTTTTTCCTTCGACTTGAATCCAATGACGGGCCTTTTGTCCTTTGACTTCGCTGAGCTTTTGTGTGGCCGGTGACTTCGGTAGTCGCAACGGGTATCGCCACGGAGGCCGATGACTTCCACGAGGACGTGTCCCCCTTTTGGCGGAAGCAGCTGGAGCGTGTGAATCGACCCGAGGTGGGAGGGTTTTGGGACTGAGACGTGACTGCAGGAGACTGGGACTGAGACTGCAGGCCTTAAGAATTGGATGTCAGCCTACCACGTGCTGGCGATCAGCCTACCATGGGTTTGAGATGTTTAAGGTGTTTGTTATAATGTAGACTCTTGACTAAGAAACCCCAGAATTGAATGCACGCACATGCGAGTCCGGGCGCGTCCACAGTGTGTATAGGTGGCTCTGTGAAACTCTCATGATAGGTGACAAACAGGCCAACTTTGATCAACTTTGTACACGAACGAAAGAGCATGTGGGCGACATAGAAAACCGAACTGGTTGGCTCGTGGCGGTCCCTTCAGAGAGTTAATTCATGTTAATTCAAGGTACATTGAATGCGACTAATTTGGTCAGGATGGACAATGGTGTCAAAATTGTTCTTTCTACGTTGGGCGTACCTCACTTGGTTGATGAATTTGTCCTGCTTGGAAGCTGAGACTCCTTACCAATCCGGCCATGGCGGTGGACATCTGTATTGAATTGAGGGTTATGAGGCATGGTCAGTAAAAAGATTCCTTATGTAAGCATAATATGTCGCTGATCCATTTGGCAATTCGGCCAACACGAAAGTCCGCCCTCATGGTCACAAGAAAATCCAAGGCAAATCAGACTGCTAGATCCTTGTTTGCGATAAGATGATATTAATTTTTGGGCCGAAAACTATGTATATGCTGGACAATCCAGCGGACACTTTCTGCCACAAGGAGGGAGCACTTGTACCTTAGGATCGTCGACAGGGCACGCCCTCCACGTAGAGTTTTCACGTATCTTTACAGGTAAACAGCGACCATGAACGAAATAGCCAGGTCCACCCAAGAAATACCACTGTCACCGACAATGCGTGGTGTATTTGTCTGTGGCCACTTAAGGAGTGCAGAGAATTGCCAATATGGCCACACTAGTCGTGCAAAGTTGACCCCCCAAGTACATAACCAAAAGACAACTCCGTGAGGCTCCATGGGGAGTGGGAAAGGCTCGGACAACACTGTCCAATTATATAGTAAACTTATCCATTTGTGCTTGGCAGGGGTCAGATGTGAGCTGCTCCCACATGGCCAGAGCTATTTGGAACAGGACGGCTGGTCGTAGTATCTATACCCTGCTTATTTGCATCGAGCTTATTCATCCTTTTGTATGCAACCTCTAGAGGATATTGCAGGATTTTAGAGAAAATAGATGCTGTCTGACTGTGGTAATGACGAACTTCTTTACACATTTGATCGAACTCTGGTAAGTCTGTGAGCTAGTCTGGACAGCTGCATCTGCAAATGCGTTGCCTCGAATATGACAGCTGTCTGCTTCTGACATAACCTCTGAGACTTGCCAGTGGGATTTAACTTTGAAAGCGTAAAAGCATGTAAAAGCGCAAGGGATCCCACGAGAACATTTAGCTCTGCAGCAAATCCGAGTGTGCTTTCGGTGTGGGCAATGGTGTATCGTTTGGTTTTGTATCTGTTCATTGGCATTCATCACATATTGGGAATCTGTACAAAAGCCAATGCGGCCAATGCGCACTGTAGAATCTATCAGCGCAATGGATTCTACTGCAGTGACGAATGTATGCAATTCTGCCCTGTTGATTGTTTGCAAACCGGGGCCTGTAGCAAGTGCCCGAAAAGTTTGTGTTTGGAAGAGATCATAGGCCTTTTCCTTAATGACCACCGCCCGAGTCTTTTGGATCATCACATGATCCATGTGTGCAGACAATTGGTTCATGAGCGAGGGATTGAATTACAACCTGGAAGGTTGAAAAAGTTCGCGAACTAAGTTTAAGTTCGCTTGCGCTTTCCAAGTTCCAGGTGTTCGGTGTGTGCCTGGGTTCGCGGAGTCCATTTGGTCCATTTGGATGGACAGATGTCTTCATATGGGGGGGTGTTGGTTCATCAAGAGTCAAGAGTCTACATGGTTCCATTATGGGTTAGGCGGCCGAAACGCCTCCAGAGTGCCCGGAAACCGATTTCGCAGCGCAGCGGAAGACTCGTCAGGCCTTGCGTTTGGTGCATCAGCTCGGTGGCGATAACCTTTTTGGTTGGCTGCGTAGCATGGCTGGTGGTCGATCTACAGGGCTTTTTGACAAAGCCTTGCGATGGAAAGCCAACATGCCAGACTATGTGCTCCTTGTTCAGGCGGGACGAAGGAGTGATCAATCAGGCGATTGCTCGGCCTTCTTTCATTCGATTGCGTTGGCCTTCTGGCTGGCGAACACCCTCTCCCTCTCGTTCTCGCGACAGCTCTCTCTCTCTCTCTCTTTTTCTTTTTCACAATTTTCAACATCTTTTTAATTCTTTTTCTCTTTGGTGAGCTTCTTCAAGAACCAGACACGGAAGAATGGAGTTCGCACCATTGCCTTACGAGGTTGGTGATTTCTTTGAAGCCTGGGGTGTCTTAGCGGTATTAAGGTTGATCTGTGATCACCCATTGTGAGGACGAACCACTCGCATTATTATCATTATTTTTGCGCACAACATGTGAATACTGTGCTTCCACGGCCCACCAAGGTGTGGATGCAGTCATGCTTGTGCAATGGTGTGGGCTAAATCCTATGGCCAGGACGTGCTCAAAAAGCAAGTCAACAACCCTACATTTGGAGTTGTGCGAAGGCACGAGAGCGGTTTAGATAAGCCTTGGAAATTGAAAGTATTAGGGTGTGGGTAATGGCTCATATATATATATATATAATTGTACATATATATATATATATTTTTAATATATGATTGATGTATTTGGTTCAAGCTTCTGGCAATGGCTGAACTAGCTGCCTTTCTTTGTGGCTTTCCAAATTCCAAATCACAATTCCATGGCCACCTTGGCGACCTTGCTGGTGCTCAAGGTGCTGCTCATCAGTTTCCCCCCTATGCGCTTCAGAAGATGTTTGCTTTCTTTTTTGTCACTTAAGGACTGACCATTAGCGATCTTCCAATACAACCCAATCCAAAAGGCAACTACAAACACCAAACACTGAAGCATCCGAAATCATGAGAGAACAATCTCTTCCTTGGCCAAGCAATTTGTGCATCGCTACTAGTAGCAAGGACGCTAGTATCTCAGTTTCATGCAGTTTCATAGCCGCCCAGTCTTTCTGAGTATTGCCAAGGTTGCTTGGCCATACGGCGTGATGAAGATGCCTTCGTGGAATCAGCCTTATCGCCAAAAACCCTCCCCAAGGGCGATTTCCAAGTCGAACGCATGTCAGGCAAGGATGTTGAAGACGCTCTTCCAGAAATGTTTTGATATGTCGGCAGAGGCTGGGCCTGTTCTGCATCTGAGATGAAATGAGGGAGCTCGATGCAAAGGGCACCTACACCGTGGTTGAAGTAAGCCCTGTGAAGGACATGGGCAAACTCCGAGCAGCGCCCCCCTGACAATGTGCTTCTCGTGAAATGGGATCAATTTCCAAATGAAAGGAAGTATCGCAAATATCAGGAGCATCACGTCTACGCCATCTTCCGTGCAGAAAGCGAAGTAGCGAATGAGCCTGAAGCGCCTGAGGTCATTAAAGCGCCTCAGGACGAGGAAGAGGATGAACTTCCCAGCTATGAAGCAGCTGGACTAGATTAGTGATTAGAGTATTCTGAGGATTCCAAAGACTCGGTGAAGACCGCCTGCCACACTGGAAAAACGATCTTGCCGGCTCAGAGACGACTAGGATCGACTAGGCAAATGAGCTTTGGTGTGAGTGATTTTGCCAGTTTGTGAACACTGCAGAATGGCAGCGCACTCCAACTCCACTTCATGAGTCATGCATGAGCCGTGTGAAACTTTAAAGTCAGACGTCAGACTGCAGGAGAGCTCGTGCAGGCTTCCCCGTGAACGCTGCAAGCCTTCAACAAACCATTGATTCTTTGACCCGCGTCGAGTTGTCCGTTGCCGTCTATGTCCAGTCTGCCGAGAACAAGACCAAGCTTCTCAGATGAAATGGAGGGATATTAAATGTTTCTTATTTTTTTGCTTTTCCTTGCTTCTCACTGCTTCCTGCTTTTCTGTGCGTGTGTTGCTTTTCCTTGCTTCGCACGGCTTCACTGCTTTTCTGGCTTTTCCTGCTTTTCTATGCGGGCATCAGGATTAAAAAAAGAACAGGATCAACAAAAATAGGATTAAGTATATAAAAAAAGAAAAACCTTTGTTGATTTTGTATTTGACAATGCCACAAAGGTGGATGATAAGGCCCACCTTCGCTTAGCCGTGACAACGCCACAAAGGTGGATGATAAGGCCCGCCTTCGCTTAGCTGTGCCACCAACCAAACCAGCCGAGAAACGAAGCAGCCCAGCGCTGTCTAAACTTGATTTGCATTGCGGGGGAGGCGCTGCGCCCTCCCCCGCACCCCCTCCCACTTTTTCACAGTTACCGCTACCCCTGCTATTACCAGTACCTCCATCATCCTGACCACCCCACTACCAGTCTTACCACAGTTACCGCAACTACTATCTTCTTCCTGCGCTTTGTAGAAGCGCTGTGCCCTACACCTACTACTTCTACTTCTACTTCTACTTCTTCTGCTGCTTCTTCTACTCCTACTCCTACGACTACTACTACTATTATTATTACTACGCTACTCCTACTGCTAATTCTGTTGTTATACTACTGCTACTACTACTACTACTACTGCCACTGCCACTGCCACTGCCGCTACCGCTACCACTACCACTACCACTACCTAGTTGCCACTCCTCCTCCTACATTTGCACAACCCCACAACGGTGGATGCTAGGGGCCACCAGGCATTTGCCACTGGTGCCGGCCAGCTACCAATGACATCTTTCCACAAGCTGACAAGAGTGAGTGCTACCATGAGCATAATCCGTGTATCCCTGCCTTCAATGTGGACACACTCTGGAAGATGCCAGTCCAAGGCGGCATCCCTTTCGTGGGCCACCGGGGAGTAAAATTTAGAATAGCTAGGAAGAAACCATTGCAACGTTGCAGTAATAGAAAGCATATAGACGCAGCAGCGCAACCCACCACATTGGACGCTAAGGGCCACCCAGCTTTTCCCATCTCAGAAATGATGTGGATGCTAAGACCAGCACCTTATATGTTTACTTAGTGCAAAGAATGAACAATCACGCATTCGAGCGTAAATCTCAGCACAACCCCACCACATTGGATACTAAGGGCCACCCAGGTTTTCCCCTCTCAGAAATGATGCGGATGCTAAGACCAGGACCTTGTAGGTTTACTTGCAAAACATGAGCAATCACGCTTTTGAGAGTAAGTCAGCTTACAAGGCCCTTCGCCTGCCACTTCTTTGTAGAACTTCCCAGAGTGCTGCGCCTGCCACCAGTGGAGTACGAGAATTAAACAACCGCAGATAAAACAACGAAAAAACATCAAAAATTAATTCCGGGACCAGATGAAATTGACCTATAGTCGAGGGACGGACGCCTAGATGACACGATAGACTGTGTAACACAGTGTAGCTGCTTACTGTCGGGATTCTTTCTGGATGCAAACCTATGCAAACTGTTTTGTGGATGCTAGTGTCTTCGAAGCTTGAGCTTATGCACAAGGAGATGACACAAGGAAGATGTTTGTCCATTTCGATCAGCGTCATCGGACCGTCATCGCGTCATTGTCATCATCGCTGATTTGTCACAGATTTCAAAGCTTTATCTCTGGAAACCGAGGCGCATTCTACGGCAGGTTTTAACCCCGGGTGCTCCCACTTACCTCTACGGCCATGAGTTGGGCAAGGAACAAGCCGGCGACTTTAGCGAAGGCCGGCCTTACATCGCCATGCGCTTGAGGACAAGCTGACGCGCTTCTGGTGACTTATTAGATGGGTCCAGGCAGCTGGTGACGGTAGGTTACAGGCCTCCATATCAAGGTTTCTAGCAGCTGCGACCTGTCACGATTTCACTTGAGGCCTTGAGGCAGAGTTCCTCACTCTTCCTTTACTTTGAAAGCCAATTACTGTACTAAATCACCAAACAAGCAAGTTCAACTCTAAGCCTCCTGAACCATTGGTCATTTCATGTCATTTGCATCCATCCACCTGCCATCAGGTCTCCGATGCCTTGCGCCTTGTGCTTTGTCGGTCGAGTGCCTTGCAGGACGAACGGCTTGTTATTCGCTGAGATCCGGCCCTTCCGCCGGGAGGTGTGCTTCCGCGAGGAGAACGCCAAAGAGCATCTTAGAGCTGTTGGAAGGAATGAACAGAGATTCTCAGGGTAAAACATGTATCACAATGTATCAACATGTTCATGGTTCACCATGGTTCACCATGGTTCATCATGGTTCATTATGGTTCATCATGGTTCATCATGGTTCATCATGGTTCATCATGGTTCATGAAGCAGGCACCCACAATGTGCCCAATGGCCAGAATAGAAGCAGTGGTTCTCCCCATTCATGCTGACTCGGAAGAACCAGATCGCTCATGCTTTCTGGTTCGGAGGATGTGACTCCTGAAGCCGTAGAAGCACTCTTGGCGGACCATGATGGTGTGGCTTGGCCTGTCTTCGTGGATGGCTCTACCACCCAGGCCAGGACGGTTTCTTTTTTGGAAGGTCAAACGTGTAGGTGCCGATCCACATGGGGGAGCGAACCCCCAAATCAGTGGGTGAGTGATGGTGAGTGATGCTGAGTGGTGTCTTTTCGGGACCCCCCGACACACCCCAGTTTCGTCCCCAAAGCAGAAACCGTCCTCAGCGTCCATGGTCCCATAGTACTTCTTTCTGCTACACGTTCGGTCCACGTCGTGTAGCGTAACTGGGAGGTGAAGAAGTGGAAGTGGTTCCCAAAGGAGCGCCGATGGATGAATCTACCCACAGAGGCGGCCGGGGTGAGGGTCCCGGGCGAGGTGTGAACCTCGTCTGAGTGGACGGGCAGTGGGCGGACAAGATGATCTGCATGGGTGCACAAATTTACATGCTGTAATAATAATGTCTACTCAATTATACAATTATACTCATGTAATCTCATGTAGTTATATAAATAGAAGTCACATCCTTTCAACCTTTCTGGAACATCCATAGTTCCATGGCTGATTTGAAGACTTCAAGAGCAGGTTCGTGACGATTACTTCCTCAATCGCTGCTGCCAAGACTTGTGCCAGCTACTGCAGCTCTCCCAGGACCGTGTTGAGGGATTTAGTGGTGCCGGCTTATCACAAGTTTGGGCAGAGACATCATGTGATATGGGAGACCACTGCTTCGTTTCGGCCATACACTTCATTTCACTGACGAAGCTGTCATACACCTCACAGATCTCATTTCCGTCCCAGACAATTACTAAACTCACACCGAAACCCGAATCCATGGATATGGGTTTGTCATGGTCTGTCTCAGAATGGACGCGCAAGTAACATCTACCATCGCAGCAGGGCAACGAAACGTATTCTGTCTTTATACAAAGCCACACAGCTAGATTAAACGAGCAACCGATGGAGACATCGTCCTGTGAAGGATCCTCCCTTTGTCCATGTACGTTTGGACACTGATGACGGAGCTTTGCAGCCGCCCCTCACCTTGGAAAGGAAACGACAAACGGGGCGGATGATATGGGCTTGTCTTTTTTTTAAGGTGTCCAGTTTATGTAGGGCTGGGATGTTCGACTTAGGCGAAGCATACCCCGAAGCATACCCCCGAAGCATACCTCCGAAGCATACCCCATAGTCAAACATCCCGGCCCGGGAACCTTAAAAAAATACAAACCCATATGCACATCAAGCCTGTTTTGTATGTCTTTTTTTAAGATCAGTGTATACTCTGCTGAGCTAAGACAAGCTGAGCCGGCTGAACTTCTTGACTTGATTTGTAGTTGGACTAACCCAAAAGCAGCGACTGACTAACCTTGAAACATGCAGTTTGAACTAGTATATAAGTGCGGAACTATTGACTGAGGATGGTGAAGAAGGAAGAAGGAGAAGAAGAACACGAAGAAGAAGAAATTTAACAAGAAAAAAGCAGGAACAAGAAACCCAAATAATAAACAGATGGAGAGGAAGAAGAAGGAGAAGGAGGAAGGAGGAAGAAGGGTTCAATGCTTTGTTGATTCAGACTTCAAAGGGCTTCCAATTCAACGAATCAGTCCCGACCAAGGTTGACCTTGTCTACCGCAAAGAATCTGGGCGTTCTGCATCAGAGCGGCGTGCCCTTGCCTTAGACATTCTTGGACACAGAAGTGCCAAAGTTGGCCTTGGCTTTCACCCACGTTGGCTTTGTTTCATTTTGTCAATATCCTTGGCTTGCTGAGCCCGGTGCCAGTGGCTTTCCAATGCCTCCACCGCGCTCTGAGGCCTTTGCTGGTTGCCCATGCATTGCCACAGGAAACACCCGTGGCCGCTCGACGCCTCATGCGGCGGTGGCTGCTGGCACCAAGGTCGGAAGAATGCGTGTGCCTTGGAAATGAGAGGCAAAGACGTGGCTGACGTGGTTGGAAGCAACAGGACGACTAGTCCGACTAGACATGAAGCAATGGATTGTTGGTAGCAAAAAGCTGCTTTAACATTGATGAGGTTGATGTGAAGGGATGAGAAGGATGAACAATGAAAAGGATGAACCATGGAAAAGGTGGTGCTCAACGTGTCTCCCGAGGCACGCGATGCGGCTGATGCTCAAGGCGTTCATCTCCAACGAGGCGCTCGATCGGATCGATGTCGACAGCATCAGCCCCATCGGAGGTGCGAGCATCGAAAAAGAAATAAACATATCCATGGGCCCAATGCGTTGCTGGCACTGACTGATTATATATTGATTATATATATATATGTTACATTTCATTTAACTAAATTTCAATCAAGTATCATGATCTGCATATATTGAATACATACAGGACAAGGGTTGGCGAAGTTTGGACACAATAGGCCTCTCAGTAACAGTTGGGTTCTTGGAGGTTCCAATCATCGTCGGACTCCGAGGCGATGATTCTCCCTTCACTGCAACGAGTCCCACCTGTTGCGAAGGCCAGTTGTTTGCGTAGATCCAGTGTGAGACGACTCCCGGTTGTTTTACGTTGTTTGTGGATGTGGAGCCTGAAACAAACCCAAACCCAACATCACCCCACTTTGGAGATGACATCGACTCGAAAAGGCAAGGTCTGTTTGGACATACTGTTCGGACGCGACATAACAAGCAGTCCAACAGATAACACCAGTCGAATGGTCTGTGGGTTTCATATATGGTTTCATGATTTGGAATTTGGATGAGGACTCGAGATGGCTCGCAAACCGATGCAGGTCGTGGCATACATTACGGCGCAAACGGCCAACGAAAGGCTTTTTCGGGACATCAAGGATTGCATGGAGGGTCTCCAGACATTTCTGCAGAATGACAGGCGGAGTTGTTTTGGGGAGTCAAGTCATCCGGGTTGAGCAGGAAGCGGGACGAGTTGCCATTCAAAAACATTTAGACGAATCATTAAAAGCCAAGAAACGCCAGGAAACCAGTCATGAACCAGGGTTGGAGGACAAAACTTATCATTCTGCCTTGCAAGGGGCGTCACCCTTTAGGCGTGTGGCTGGGAAGCACCTCCTGAGTATCTGATGCTTTTCCGTTGCTTTCCAGATGTCGTTTTTTCGTTCTTTTTTGATATCCCACTTCAGGCGCTGCGCTTGACTGCTCTGTGCGCAAGTGAAAGTGAAAAGAGATACCCCGCTTCATGTTCACCCTATGAAGCTTTATCTTAGAGTGCTTGCGTAAAGAAAGCATCGAGATAGACTAAATATATTCAAAACAGCGTTGGTTCGGAAAGCGTTTTTTTGTCATCGGAAAGGGCTCCCTGGAGTGCCTTTGGGGCAGGTATTCAGCGTTGTGGGATCCACTTTTGTCGCGCCTCGGCTGGTCATCTCTAGTCTCGTGCGAACTGGCCATGGATGGCCCCAGTTGTGATGTGCACTTGTGAGCACAACATCCTCAGTCCCAATGTGAATGCCGGAGTCGTTGAGATGCTGGAAACGCACGTGGAAAAACCCACATGAAATCCCAAAGCGCTACCTTCATTGTCACTGGGGTAGGCAGTGCTTCCATTGTCTCGGATGCAAGGATTGCTGCAATCGAGACTGGCTTGGACAATCTTGACCGGCAGAAGTTCCTCTCAGAGATTGTCCGAGTGCTGGCGTTGTTCGAGATGAGGCTTCAAGACAATCGCCGCACAACAAAGCTTTTTCGGTGTGGAGGCGAAATGAGTAGGCGAAACGTTCCTTCCTTGTTCAGATTCTTTTATTATCTTTTATTCATGCACTCGTTTATTTGTTTAGAGATTTTTGTTTCCTTCATAGAATTGTCCAGCATGATCAAGGATCCTTCTCAACCTGATGATCCTGCAGTAGGAATCTCAGAAGTGAACTAGGATCCACGTCTATTCTGCTTTCTTGCTTCAATTTTGTTTTGTTTGTTTGTTGGTTGGTTTGTCTGCTTTGGTTCCTTTTCTTCTGTTGCTTGGAAGCAACGCGGCAGTACCGGTTCTACTTGTAGCACGTTATCATATAGTAAACTTAACTTACTTTAAGCAAAACACACTGACGGATGTATCTTGAGGCCAACTGCAGCATTTCTAGAGATGCAGACACACAGAGAGCTGTGGAAAGGCTCTTCGAGGCACTTGTGTTGATGAGTCTCTTTTCTCTTGTGCAGAGTTGATGAGTCTCACATGGCCAGTTTGCTTTCTTTTGTTTTTTTGTTTTCTCTCAACTCAAACAACAAGCCGTGATCTTCTTGCAACCGAGCTTACTGCAATCGTGCGAGCTTGCTACGAACGCCAGTCCAACGAAGCTTTCCGCGGCATAGCTTCCCAGCAGCAGGAGACATGGGGTTTGCGACGGCGAAACGCGGCTCTCGGACCGACGGCGTCGCAGCGGCGCAGGAGTCCATCTCGAAAGCCTACCGAGGTGAGTCGCACAGCAAAGTAAGAGAGCTTCAAGTCGGTTTGCTCATGTTTGCTCAAGAGCTTAGTGGATTGAGGATTCATTTGCAAGCCCCAAGGCTCTGACAGTTTTCCACCAGCAGTCATTGGTCCTCACGAGTTGCTGTGCCGATGTCCTTCAGGCCTGAATGCTGCGCGTGATGACCTTTGCAAAGCTCTTCAAGAAGGTTGGTTATGATGAGCAGTATATTCGATTCAGTTGGGATGAGATCTTGGAGATATATGATACATGGCACACCTGCATTGCATTGAGTAGGATGGAATCATCCTTCATGATTCGTTTCAATGATGCAGCCTGGTCAAATAGATCATGGTGGGCACACCCTGCGGTGGTGATGCTTGTTGAACAGAGCTTTCTGGAGGCCTGCCATCAACACATACTGACATGTTGGTGCGGCCTTGCCGCACTAGGAGTTCTGCAAAGTTCACGCAAAGTGATAAATGAATTACTCAATGCCATCCCTTTCTATCTCTCGTCAAGTTTAGAGATGAGCGTTGGCATTCCTGGCACAAGTTTGGGTCCAAGGTACAATCCCTTTGACAACGACATTTGCTTCAAGAAGAAGCCTTTGGGCGGCGACTGTCATGGAGCACATGACCGACGTGGCAAGGTCGGATTACTGCAGGTTGCCTTTTTACCCCGAAAGGCACGAAGCTGCAACATATTAATAGCTTTATTATTGTTACTCGCAGTAAGGCCAGGAGCCCCTAGTAGCTTCTTGTCCCTGCTACTAGTAATAAGGCCAGGAGCCCCTAGAAGCGATGCCCTTTGTTCCTGGTAGTGATACATCGCCTGGATGTTGCACATTGTTGCACTATGAGAGGCCAAAAAGGAGCGCTTCACGACCAAGAAGCTGGAGGCGCGGCGTGATTTTGTCAACCCACAGCTTTCAGAGATCCTGGCACTCAACAGGCACTCAGACCACACGTAGAGAAGCCTGTGACATGTGGTTTCAGAATTGCTGTGTAACCTCCTTGCCATTCAAGAGTCAAACGCCTAAAAGATCCTAAAAGTCTAAAGGAACTCCAACAATCTTCACTGTTTCAATTTGCTGGATATATATATATATATCTTCCTATTTCTTCATGTCGAAGCCACATCCGATTTCTCCCATCTGATCCGTGCGCGGACAGCAACGGCGCCTGCAGGGGGCCTTACAGCGCTACTTGATGGAGGCAAAGCGCACTGAGCAGGCGACACAGGCAGTTCTGGTGCAGCTTTGTGGCGAGCTCAGTGGAGCCTTGGAAGGAATAGATGGACGGGTGATGGGCGGGTGATGATGGGTGGTGGAAGTGATCAGCATCTGGACACCGAGCCGCTTGTCATACGAGTCTGAGTATGTATATAGTATGTAGTATTAGCCGTTGATGTGTTGTGTCAAATTTGGAGGCTGATGGGACACTTTTTTGGGGAGGTGCTGCGCATTTGGAGGTCATTAGTTCTTGACTTCAGACCCGTTTGTTTCGTCCAGGAGGAACATGCATCGCACCAGACCAGTTTGGGCTTTGAAGCGAGACGAAGTCCAAGGCCATGTGGCAGCCTTGCGCACTGCAGTGACTGCCGCAGAGCTGCTCATCACGGCACATGCGCATGCGTCGCATGCCTTTCGAAGCTTGGCCATGCAGTGGTGTGAACTGTGTGAACCCATGGCTTCAGTGGTTTAGAATATATAGTTGACCATTTGTTGGTGAATGGATCTCTATAAAATCGGGACCATTATGGACCATTTATGTGCATCTACAAACTGCCATTCAGGGACCCATTCTATAGTGAGGGTACACTGGATAAAAGCCATTAATAACCTGAACATGACATTTTGTAGAGTGGTCATGTTCAATCAAGTCATCCTGGTTCATAGATTAAGACAACTGAATATGTTGCTGAAGCGAAACCACATTTTAAAGTAGAAACACTGTGTGTGTGGCCCATTCTCAGGATGTTCTGCCGGAAGTGCATGTTTTTGCACCTCTCGGGTGTCGACAAGTGTACCACTTGCTGCAGTGGCCGTGACACGCGCAATCCGAAGTGTACCAAATGGTGTGTTTTTTTTTTCATTCGAAAAGCGCACTCAAGTTGTTTCTCTGTCACGCTGAGTATGGCAGCAGGAGACGTGAAAGGACAAGTGAATTTCATGTGCACAATTGAGATGTTTTGAGATGTCAGCGCGCTGTTTTCGAGCAGTGTACCAACTTTGAGCACCGGAGGGCAGCTTTGCAGGATGGCCCAACCACACATAAAGGTCGACGTCTATAACCTGTTTCGTTTTTTTCTAGCCGTCTAACTTTCTGAATGTCCCAACCCTTGAAAAGCGAGCAAAACAAAACACATCATTAAAGGCAAACAAAGGCAGACAAGGCATTTTATAGAAGGGAAGAAATGGAGCAGGATGGTGCAAGCACCCCGAAAGGGCTATCAAATGCATCCTTTAAAATGGAACCAAACGCAGACAAGGCATTTTATAGAAAGGAAGAAATGGAGCAGGATGGCGAAAGCATCCCCAAAGGGCTATCAAATGCTCATCTGGCCTTTCTGTATTGCTCAACCTTTCAATGCGCCAAAAAATGCAGACAATGCATTTTATATGACGTGCAACCCCTACAGTACCCAGTCCTACCCACACATCCAACCTCCGGCCCCAAGCATTCCAAGGCCATCAAAATCCCAAACCCATTCCACTTTGTGTCTTCATTTGCTGGAATGTTATTTTATAGTCCTGGCGCCTCTGGCGCCGTGCTGATGCAGTTCAGTTGGATTGTCACTTCACAGAGAAAACACATCTTCCAGCTTGAAAACACCACAGAGTTTGATCTGGTCATTTCATAGAGCCACTTGCCAGAATCTTTTTGCTTAAGGTTGGTCACCTCATTTTGAGAATATATGTATGGTATACGTGGTTTTGCATTTTATAGAGAGCAATTAGACATTCCATTCTTTGGAGAGTTCTTTTTCTATAAAGTGCTTTGTACATGGCCCAGTCAACGGGTGTTATAGTTGTTTTGTTGTTTCAGCCATTCTGAGGTGTACCACCCACCAGCCAGACTCCACTTTGCGGATCCATGCAGACTGAATGTAATTATAGCGACGGACTGAAACTTAGAATGACGTTTTGGATACCTCGGGTGCACATTTGTGACACCGGAATGAAAGTCGCAGCGCCAGCAAATCTGGAGAACACGGGCATTTTGGAGAAGTTTAGCCCCTCTCACAAAAAATGGCCTAAAATATCAAACATAGAATGCCGAATCTTACTGCAAAATGCGCGGTTTTGGACGCCTGAAACTTAGAATGCCTCCGTTTATACGATAGGACAGGCCGAAGCATTGGCTTACAAGTGGGTTGTGAGCACCCCGCCACCAAGAAGCTTTTGATGAAATATGGACTGGATAAAGGTGTTATAGATGTATACTGCATACCGACATAGATGTATACCCCCCCTATTAATCAATCCCACCCTCTGGCCTCATTCTGGTTTTCCAATGCTATCACCCAATGGTTTCCCAACAGTCTCATGGTTCTCATGGTTCAATCTCTCATGACACAGAATCCCATCAACCATCATCAGGTCCAGGTCCTCATCTCATCATCCATCATCAGGTCATCACCTTTGCTAGGGGGATGTTGTCCCCCAATACCTCCAATCTCAGACCTTGTTGACCTTGAAGGGGCGGTCCCCATTTATTAATCCGGTGTTGCCATTATGGTCATTCCATCCCTTATATAATTGTCAGCAAAACTTTCTACTATCCAATGGATGACAATATACATACATCTATATACCAATTCCTACTGATTTGTTTGAATTTATTTAAGTTTTTTGATTTCGATTGATGTCCTTTTAAATTCATCTTGATTCCTATTTATTGGCTTTGTTCCTAGTGCTTTCCTTGTAAATGCCTTTTGATCCCTACTGTCTCCTTGAAAATTCCTTTTGGTTCCTATTGATTCCCCTCTGATTTATTGATTTCCTAGCTTTACGTATATACACACCCCTTATATATATATATAATTACTGGCAAAAACTGGTGGGGAAAAATCATCAAAGTTCATTTATGTTGGGTGAGCATCCTTATTAGACCACAAACCATGGGGACATTTTTTTGTTGAAACCAATGCCCATGCAGAGGCGGATCAATTCAAGTACCTGGCGTAGGAAGCGTGTCGACAACACTTCGTCGCGCGAAGCCTTGATACAGCCGTGTTGTTGTAATCGCATGGAGGCAACACAGCCATGTTGTTTTGAAACCATTGATGACAGCAGCAGCCGACAGCAGCGGCAACATTTGACCCAGGATGTGGCTGGACTCTGCCTCGAATCTCGGGACAGACACTGGAGGCAACCATCGCTCCCTACTGGTCTCTTGGCTCAAAGCCTGGTTTGTGTTTCTTCCATTGTAGCAGAATGATGTCTAGCAGAATATGCTAGTGTGTTGCAGAGGCATGACATAGCAGACATAGCATGACTCCTTTGGGTTGCACATCGGAGGATGGACTCTGGAGATGCCGTGTTCTCACACGTGGTTTTGGAACCTCATGGTGCGATTGCCACTGGCCCCAACATGTCTGGCAAAAGCACCCTGATGCGAGCAATAGGCAGGACTTTGTGTTTGCTTGCTCTTTTAGCCTTTTAAACGCCCACATTTTGCGCACTACAACTTTTGGGAGAAGCAGCTTGAGAACCAGTTGCCTCAGTATGCTTCAAAGACCGTCCTGTGCAGAGAATATCACAATGGAAGATAATACTGGGAGCAGGTGCATGTTTTTTTTCACTGCAGGTGCATGCTCACTTCTGGCGAACTGTGGCTTCCTTTGCCCTTGCAAGTCGAATGCGACTGTGCCACGGTATCGACAGGTGGTTTGGGTCGCCGCTGAAGGCCCGGTGTGACATTGTCCATTGTGTGGCAGTGAAACAGAGGGTCGCTGCAGATTTGATTGCTCGATTTGCTCAAAAGGCTGGCTATCAAAAGGTTATCAAAACCACATCCAAAACCACAGGCTGCGTGGTGTTTTGCTCAGTTCTGCAAAAGGTTATCAAACGTACTCCGACCAGCCGGTTGCATTACTAGAAGCTGCTAGGAACAAAGGGCATCGCTACTAGTAGCAAGGACGCTACTAGGAACAAAAGAGAGTCGACCGGACTCCGAGCCAGGTGACCGACCAGCCGAGGGCGTCAGTGCTTTTGGTTTCTCGGCGTTGTGTGGGACGTGGGACGTGGAGCTCCAGTGAATGGTGGGAGGTGTCAAGCAGCGATGTTTCTCAAACCTCAAACAAGAGACGATGTTTCAGCTCGAGCTACATGGTTTTCTCAAGACCACGTTATACCTTGGTTGACCTACCTCGGAGGTCAAACTTTCTGGTGCAAACGGGCCTCAGGCTTTGACCCATCCCCTTCCTTCGTCTCCTCGTGACACCGAACGACACCACTCCCAAACTCCAACACCGAACGACAGAAGTTCACGTCATCCATTCGCGAATCAATGTTGATTTGAACACCGTTGGCAACCTGGCCAAGGTGTCCGATTTTTTCGTTCTTTTGGTTCGAATGTCCCACCGTTCTTCCCACCGCGGAGAGTCCATTGTAAGGTGTCCGTTCGACTCCCACCCTTCTTCCGTCTGAGGAGTCGAACGGCCCGGTTTCTGAGGCCAAGAAGCGATGATCTCTGCTGCCCTGCTGCGGCGTGCCGAGCCAGGCACGTTGGCGCTGGTGACGTGGAACCATTTGTTTGAAACAGACGAGGCGTCTTCAAGACGATGGGCTGACTGAGACGTAAGGATTTATGGTGGAATATGATGGATTCTGGAAAGGGATAGTTGATTCATGTTGATTCATGTTGATTCATCATGATGTCGGATAGGAGGGGTGGAACGAGGGACACTGGACCACAATAATGATTCAAGATGTCACCATCTTTCAGCCCCTTTCTGGTTTGCAGGAAAGAAAACCATTCGAGACCCGTGCGACTGCGAGCGAGAGGGATTTCCATCCGAGGTGGATGAGTTTGGTCGAGGCACCGAGCCTCGAGCAGCGAAGGCGAAGCGAGCAGCGTGTCGCTTCGCCAGTGAGACACCCTTCGCCACGTGTGGAAGATGTTACATGTGGAGACTCCACAAGTGATGCATTGTGTGATACATGTGACGCTGTGCCACGTGTGACGTTGGGGAATCAATGGCGGAGTCACATGCTGGAAGATGTTACATATTAAGCCGCACTTGGTGGAGACTCCACAATGGTTTTTGTAGGCAGCTGTTTGTGCTCTCATTGAAGAGCTCGCTGCACGAGGAACACAGCTGCTTGAAAGCACAGAAAGACTTCTATGCCAATGTTCTACTGTTTGTTTGTACAGGAGTAGTAATGTTGGATCCTGATTAGTAAATAGGCCCCCCCCCCCTCCCTCAAACAAACAGGAGGTCCTCTATAATAAACTATCACCAAAACAAATCTGGATTCCTGGTGAGGGATCTTTTGTAATTGATTGTAGTATTCATTATCCTTTTGCTTTGCAGCCTCAGTACTTCAGCTCAAGAGAAGCCTCAGATCTTCAGCTTTCATGGCTTCCTTCTCAGATGAAGTCCTGGTGAGGGATCTTTTTGGTTCTGAGACCTCTTCTGTTGCTTGGTTCTGGTTGCCTAGAGAAAGCTATATCAGCTAATGAATCATAATCATTGGCCTCA